TCTGCCCCTCTCTCATTTCTACTATAGAAAGAAGCCATGGTGAAAATTATGGTTTCCTATTAACAAAGACTCAGACTCCAAATCTACTGGTGCCTCTATCTGAGTCTTTCAACTTCCAGAACTGTGAAAAGGAGTATTTCTGTTAAAGCCAACTGGTCTATGGTATTTTGGTTATAGCTATCTAGAAAGACAAAGGCAAACATTTTTAGTCTAGATTCACAATTTAAAAGTTTGGAGAATCGTAAGAACTTTAAGAATGAAATAATGTTACTACATAATGTGGTCATTGTGATACTGTTATTACATAATGAGGCCATTGTGATGCTGTTACTACATAATGTGGTCATTGTGATGCTGTTACTACATAATGAGGCCATTGTGATACTGTTACTACATAATAAGGTCATTGTGATGCTGTTCTACATAATAAGGTCATTGTGATGCTGTTACTACATAATGAAGTCATTGTGATGCTGTTACTACATAATGAAGTCATTGTGATGCTGTTACTACATAATAAGGTCATTGTGATGCTGTTACTACATAATGAAGTCATTGTGATGCTGTTACTACAGATGACCCTGAATGGGCACCTCTAAGGAGAGGGGGCAAGAAGGCACTGAGCCAGTGCCGTAGACTCTGGGAGTCAGGTGAATAGCGAAAGCTATTCATTTATTGTGGGTATGGGCAGGCCTCTTGTTCCTCCTCCCAAGGTTCCGTTGGCTCAGGCGGCCAACTCTGCTGCGCTGTCCTTTTCTCATAGGCATCTCCGGTCGAATGTCTCCGGGTCAACAGTCTCTGAGTGTAGCAGCACGCCTTAGGTTGGCTCAGGGAGCAAGTTCCTGCCATGCGTGCTCATGTGGGCTGGCTTGGGCAGGGCAACTGCAGCTCGGGTAGCCCAGCTGACAGTTTCTACCACATCCACGTAAAACAGTGAGTAGCTGTCAAGGATTCCGTGAACCACTCTGTTTTGGACTAGGAAGCTCTAGTGTGACTCAATCGTAAGAGTCCCAAGTCCAGCAGTACCCTTTAAATCCCACCACTTATTCTGCAACTCTGGATATGTTATTTGTATGTCTGTGTGTATGTGTTGCACCTATGTGTGTATGAATGCTTACATGAATGTGGGTGGATGTGTGTATGCCCACGGAGAACTCATGTTTATGTCAGGTGTATTTCTTGATTGCTATCAACTGTAACCATTGAGACTGTGGTTAGTCAGTTCTGTCTAGGCAGCTTACCCCTAATTCCGTGTCTTTCTTCTGAACACTGGGACTACAGGCAGCTGCTATGCTTGCCTAGCTTTTATGTGGGTTCTGGGGATCCCAGCTCTGGTCCTCACACTGTGCAGCAAGCTCTTTATCCATTGAGCCATCGCTTCAGTGCGCTGGACAAGCTATTTAATCTCTCTGAGCCTGCCTAGAAGATCAGAAAGATCAAAGATATTTCTTAGGAATTGTTTTAAAAATCCATTTAAGAAATGCACAGTGGAGCCTCTAGTGTGGTACTTTGCACCCGACGACTCTCTTAAAAGCATAGTTTGTGTCTTGAGAGGTTTCTATTTTCCCATCGGACTCCTTCAGGGATGAGCATATGACCCTACAATAATGAGATACCCACATGTTTTGTTTAGGTTTCTTGAATTTATTCTTACTTAATGGATTCAAGGCTGCGAGCACAAGCTTCCTGGAGATCTTATTACCTCTGAACCTGGAGATGAAAACCTAGACAGCTGGAGACAGACTTGAGAGCTGGAGAGAAACAAGGCGGGATGACTCTGCTCCCTGAAGCCAGCCATGCCCGAAGCCTAATCATGCCTAGAGTTCTCATTTACGTGTGCCAACTAATTCAAATCTGGATCACGGTTTCAGTCACAAGCAACACAAGATTGTGACAGCCGCAGTGCTCCAGAGAGACAGGCTCATGTCCTTATAGCTGGGTTGTCATTGTTTAATGTCAATTCCCACCCTGGTAGCTCTCTTTCCGTTCTTCCACGCACAGAGCCACGGAGAGCAAATCTGTTCCTAATTATCTACCTCTTCTTAGATCCCAGGACAGCTTTTTTCCTTACTTCAAAGATACCTTGACTTGAAATGTCTGCTGGATGATTTCGGCAGCTATCAGCTTAGAGATGGTACCCTAAAAACCACAGCGGCAGCATCTTTAGGGCTCTCTTTGGGTGCTGAGAGTTTGGTCAATGATGAATAACTAAAATGTCTTCCGACTGACTCTAGAATCTGTCCTGCGGCTGCCAGTGCCAACCCGGGGCGTCAGGGGCAGCATGAGCCAAACAAAGGCAGCCTTCCCAGCCTGTGCTCAGTCACAGTGTGGAGTCATGGGAGCTTTCCTTCTCTTCCTAATGCTACCTCTATGTACTTATTCTATGTACTCTATGTACCTACTTGCTAATTAGCTTTGCCAACCCTTGCTAGAAGACTAAAGGGCAACAGCACCATGTTGTGCTGCCCTTGATGAAAATGGCTATTGCAATCATTACTCTAACTGACACCAGCTTTTCCTAATGAAATCTAGATTCTTCTGATAGCCCCAAGGAAGCAGGCGAGTCTGTCAAGGAACAGGAACCTGAGGTTGGGGGTCGAGATCATGGAGGAAGAGTCCCAAGATCCTATAGGTTACCAAAGATACCTGTTATTTGGTGTTCTTTCCAGAGCACTCCTTACTTTCAGGGCCGTGTAATTGACTTGCAAAAGCAGGAAATATCTGTACATCAGATTTACTTTGGGTATTGAGGTTAATGGCCTTGCTTTGTGAAGACTGTTACAATTAAGATGGATTCACTTGTGTTAAACCAGAATGAGAGAAAGAGAGAGAGAGAGAGAGAGAGAGAGAGAGAGAGAGAGAGAGAAGGAGAATATCTCTGGCACAAAGGGTTCTGTCAGAACATAACCGTCTGGGCAGCACCTGGTGCCCAAACATGGACAGGAGAACTAGCCAAGTGGTCACCAGACAAACGGTAAGCACAGACCATGAAGCACTTGGAGGTGCACAGGCTGTTTGCCCCAAAACAAGCTGCATAACAGCTGCTGGCTTGAGGAATTTGCATGAGCCCGAGGAAGAAGCCGACCAATAGCATTTCGGAGACCAGAGTTACAGGAAACACATTTCCCCAGAAAATCTTTCTGGATGTGTGTGGGTGGACTGGACAGCCAGTGATCTCTAACCTACAATGTTGCTCCCCAGAAGCTTGGCTTACTTTTCTCTTTGGTCTTACGGAGAGTCTAGCATGGCTGTCGGCTGGGTGGTAAGGATTAGTTGGTAATGCTAGCCTCGGGTTAATAGACTGGCCACTGAATCCGTGTCCCAGGTGGAGATGGACTGCCCAGAGTGTCCTTGTTGGTCTGGGGGAGTAATGCTGAAAACGGAGGCTTCTCAGGCACAGGCTGTGTGTATTTCCTCCACCCATGTGAACAATACCTAGTTTCTCCAGACAGAAATAGTACCTCTGGAGGCACAATTCCCAGGACCCAGGATAATAGCACCACACGACAAAGGAGAGCTGAGGTAAGAGAAACAGGACATAAAATACATGGAGCTTTTGGTGGTGTCTGCTTTACTGCTGAGTTTAAAATCTGCCTTTCAGTTTCACTGCCTGTTAATAAGAATCAAAGTACTGGGTGGTGTTACAATCTATCCAGTATCTTAGCCTGTGAACTGAGAGCTTTCTGTACAATGCCAAGCGCTCCTCAGCCTCTGCTGATGGCATTCTCAAGTGAAAAGGGTGTCTATTTTTCATACATAAGGTCTGAATTTTATCTATTAAGTAAATTGAGTGTATTTATTTTCTCTTATAAGGATTAAATAGAAAAAGAAATGTTGGGGTTCCCAGATATTCTTCTGAAAACCACCATTCTTTTCTCAGTAGGGGGAATCCAGATTATAGAGGCAGCCACTTGGGATGGGATGTCGTACGTGGTCATCAACGCAATGAAAGGAAAACCACAGAAGTGTCCCTCTCCACCTTGATATTTTATCCAGTGTGTGCCATGTTACAAATCATGACTTCAACTGCTGACCAAAGAAGCCTATCGGGGCTTTGGGCTACTTGAGTTCAGGTCAAGCCTTTCCATCCACTAACTACCTATTCACCCACTCCTTCCTTCTCTCCTTCCTTCCATGTTGATCATCTTTCTCTCCCTCACAGTCAGGCTACATTTGTCTTGTGTCTATGCCTGTATGAACATATTCAAAAAGGAAAAATGGGTTGGTTTAAATAAGCTTGACCATTCAAAATCTTTTGTATCTTTATCTGTGATGCCAGATGAGTTAGCTAATCATAGCCTGGTACAATGCTCTCCTGAAGAAATACAGATATCGAAGAAATCCTTTGGTCTTCAGGAACTGCTGATGTGAGCCATGCCTTGAGACTCAGAATCAAGAAGAAAATAGCAGGTTCTTTCTGGAAGAAGGAAATCCTCAACACGTGTGTTTATTTCCCTCTGCTTAGCTCGAAACAAGCAACTGAAAAGACTAAACCAGCCATTAGGCTGTGGTAAGTGACGCTACAGTCTCTGCCTTGATAAACATGACTCTTTCATCCTGCGACACTGGAAACACGACGTGTCCTTGTACTTGATGCTACACATTTATCTTTCTGCATGGATGGAAACACACTTCTTTGAGGGAACTCGAGAGTCCTTAATAGACAAAACAACACGGTATGCAATTTATAGGACAATTCCTATGTCTGCCTGCTTTTCTACTCAGGAAATTTAACTTTTATCTTCCCCAAATGCTACATGAATAAAGTATATTCCAGTCATTGTTAACTCTTCGACTTTGATTAAACTGTGTAGACAAAGGTGGTGTTGGTGGTGGTGGGGAGAACAGGTTTTAAAGGAAGATGGCAGCCATTTTCTTTCGTTATTTATTTTTTTTTATTTTTTTCCAAGAACAGTTAACATTTGCCAGGCACCTGTTGGCCTCAGTCACTTGCATCTAAAGAGCAAAGCTAATTTACCCACAGCCCACGTTCTCTGAAATGGTTAGCCTTATTTCTTAGCTCTGTTAACCACTAGTCTAACATTAGCTTCAAGTTCAGTTTTAAATCATCTAGCCCATAATTGTCTACTGCTCCCTGCCACATGAACAGAAACGTCGGAGAGGGTATAAGGCGAGCAGTTGACATCTTCTATGGAGACTTCAAGTAATTGGCCCCAAAGGGAAACTACCGAGTTGGCCATGGTTTAGCATGTTCCGAGGGCATAAAATGTGGAAGGGGTTGACCTGTAGAAAGAGTTGGTACCCAAGAATGTGTGGACATGTGAGAACCCTACTTTCCTCCAGCTGGGCTAATATCCTGAGCCACTAGAAGAGTAGATACATTACAAAAGGAACAAACCGATGCACACGGATGCTGGGACAACAAAAGGCCTGGACAAGATGGACAGCAGGTGAAGTCGCTTCTATCCAAAGAAAATCCCACACAGGGCATTACACATACACCGACATACACACACCCACACACGCACAGACACACAAGCAAGAATGCGTATTTTGTAAGGTTGGTCCATGGAAACAGACATTCTTAGCAAGTATGGATGACAGATCAATTGTAATTTATTTTCTTTTAACACTGTATCATCATAAAGAAAACTGGTATAAATGAAAAAAAATCTATTTCAAATATCTACATCTAAAATTCTGGGCAGTGAAAAAGCACTTTGTTGACAAGGATGTGGAATGACGTGTTAGCTGTGAGAAACTGCTGGATGCCTTGTTTAGTTGCCACAAACATCACACATCAGAACGAACAATACTGCTAAATATTCCTTTTTTTTCCTGTTTTTTTTTTCTTCTTTTTTGTTAAAACATACTGGGAGAAAGAAAAGAAAAGAAAACTGGAAATCCATACATCTTTCAAAAGTTTGAAGTTGAAGCAATATTTAGAACCATTGATGAGGAAACACGGCGGCATTGGTGTAATATACACAATGCTGTCTTCTTCTTTAATCTGTAATGTACATCGAATACTTTACAACAATGCATTAACAAAAGGCAAGAGACGTCTTGCTGTACAGAGAAACCCCAATGCAACTGGAAGCCTAGAGTCACACGGATGAAGGGAGTAACGAAGCGTGAGAAGCCGTCCCCCATAGTGGAAACTATTCCGTCTTGTGCTTAGCGATAACCTCCACGCCCACCACCCTGACCGTCTCCTCCCTCCTTCCTTCAGCCACATGGCATATAAAGCACTTCGAAACCTCTACAGTTCAAACTAGAAAGGTGTTGAATATGGTCACATTTAGGAGGGCGCTTAGCCTCCTCTCGATTTCCCAGTTAACTCTCGATTCGTTTCGCTTTCTAAAATAGCTCTGAGTATTTCTTTCTGGTTATCACAGCCTTCCTATGGAACAGGCTTTAACAAACTAAATCTGCAGGGGGGAGAAAAAAGGAAAAGAAAAGAAACGGAATGTCCCGTGGTACGCATGCACATGCACTGTTCCCGGAGTGCCTCGCGCGCTCGTGGCCTGGCTCCTCCCCCTCACACCCAGGAGTCGGGCGAGGCCGGGTAGTGGCTCGTTTCGTAGTTCAGTTCGCTGTAAGGGCGGGCAGCAGAGTAGAAGTCGACATAGTTGCCCGTGGACTTGAGGCCCAGGTGCATGGTGTACTCGCTGGCTGGAGGGCGGTGGTGGACCTGGTCTTCAAAGAAGGACTCGTCGTAATTTCGTGTGGAATTCTGAAACGGCTGGTAGGTCTCATAGTCTTTCCTGCTGGGCTCCTGGGGGACAGGCTGTGCTGAAACCTGCCAGAGAGAAAGTGTCACTGGGTTAGCCATTACCTGACCCACCCTCTTTCCCCACCCCACTCTACAGCCCGGTACAGGAAGGGCTAGAGCCTGCTCTGGGCTCTCTGCACACAGTGCCAGGGGCTGTGTTCTTTCCATGTAATTTGACTTCTTAATTTTAATTTTCTATCTATGGGGTGAGGGTTTGGTGATTTGATGCTAGCATTCAACGCGCTGAGTAGCATTTCAACCTCCCTGGCCACTTATTTCCTTGCGTTGGAAATCTTCAAACTCTTCCCCTTCTAGTCCTTTAGAAGGCGCACAGAACTCATCATGAGTGTCACGCTGTGGTACTGTGGCTGTGAGTGCTCACTCCCCTGTCTCATGGGGGCCGGGCGAGACCTTATCTGGCATCCCTCTCTCTCTTCCTCTCCACTCTTCCTGACTCAGCTGACCACCGGTCTATTCTTCTTCTGTGAAAGCAACTTCATTTTTTTTAGCAGTCCTGTAGGAGAACGAATATGTTTGATCTTTCTGATGTCCTAGCCAGGAAAGAGAGGGCCAGGAGAGATTTGATAATTGGTCCATGGGACTAGGGAGACACATCAATGACTAAAGTTCTTGGCATGAAATTGAAGACCTGAGTTTGGATTCCCAGAACCCATATCAAGGTTAGTAGGTGTGATAGGTGCCTGTAGTCCCTTCACCAGAGAGCCAGAGACAGGGCATCCCTGGGACAAGCTGGCTAGACAGGCTTGGTGGCTCCAGGTTTTAGACTCATTAAACCTCTTGCCCACTCCCAGATCCTGGCAATATCCAAGGTGGTTTCCGTCTCTACGAATCCTGCCTACCTTTGGAGCCTCATATGAGTGCAACCACACAGCATTTATGCTTGTGTGTCTGGCTTTTCTCCGTCGGTAAGTTTTCATCACTTCTACATATTGAATTTGTCAGAATTTTTTTTTGAAGAATGAATAAAAAAATGGACAGACCACATTTTGTTCATCCAAAACCAAATTGGATAACTGGATGTCCCTCTGTCTAGTAACCAAAGCCCCGTTTGGTTTTGTGGGTGTGTGCCCTAGATCAGACGATAACTCTATGTGCAGCCCTGTGGAGGAACCCCCAACTGTTTGCCATAGCAGCTCTGCGGTTGTCTGGGGTGAGCTGTGGAGTGAATGTGGACTGAACGCTAAAGATTCAGGGTGATACAGGGTGTCCCCTTTATCTTTCTACGTTTGTCGGCATCAGACTCAGGTGCCGCAATGAGAGGCACCTGAAATCAGAGGCTGGAAATGGAGAAGGTCTGAGGGCCACTCTCTCCTGCTTATAACACATTCCTGGGGTTACATAAGGGATGGTGGCTTCCCTGTGGTTGGTCCAGTCCATCACACCTGCCCAAAGTGACTAGGACCTCAGACAGACACACACTCCAAATATTCTACCTTCTGGAAGACCAAATGTTTCCCGACACGTAGTGCAACTGAGAACTAATTAAATTAAAGAAGGCTGTGGAACAATGGTTTACACCTGAAAAACCAGAGACGAGGGAGGCTGGGGCAGAAGGGTGTGAAGTTCAAGGCCAGCCTTGGCAACTCAGCTGGACTCTGCCTCAAAGCTAAAGTTTCAGAAGGTCAAGGGCGCAGCTCACTGGAGGAACACCTGCCTGTCAAGGCCTTGGGTTTGATCCTCAGTACCTCATGGCATTCTGAAGCTTTTCATAGACTGTGGTGTCTGCAGCTCTCTGGTGTCCCAGCCCAACTCAGTACTCCCTGGGCTTGGCCTCTGTGGGTTACTATCTGATGCAGTGACTTGAAACGTTCAAAGGTCACGAGAGCCTGGTTAGGAGTCAAGAATGGGTTCCTCTGCTTGGATTTAGTGAGAGGAGGATAAGGAACATTCCTGGGCCAATAATACATTAGCTGGCCGCCCCGGCCCCGCAGCCCTCCATCTCGTTCTGTTCTGAGAAACTCTAGGGTTCCTTTTCAGGTACCTGCCCCAGGTGTGGGATGAGGGGGACCTCACAGCCAGTGTCCACGGCGATGTGTAAAGATCTAGCCTGTAATAGCCAGGATGTCTGGCACGGATTACAAAACACTGGGGGAAGATACAGTTTGATGACTATCCAGCAGACTCGGTAATTCCCTATTAATTTTGCTAAGGTTGAGTGTGGTGGCTGCCTCTGGAAATGGCTTTAGCTAATAGGTAGTGATTTGTTATTAGCACAGCATGTGTAAATGAATGCCTCTAATGAGCCACAAAGAATTCTTCTTTCAAGAGAAACTCCATCTTTTATATAGGATTGATTTATACAAGGAATCGATAGGTTCTCCACAGAAGGCTGTCCAGGGTGCCTCATACCTCCAGTTAGTGGTAGCGAGTGAGGGAGACTTCAATCTGCCTGTGAAACTCCGGATGTTCATGGAGCATTAACCTCTGCTAGCCCCAGACCCTGGGCCTGAGAGGAATACTGCAAATAGCCTGCAACATGCATGAAGGCCAGTTCTAGCAGGCTGCCTGCACAGGAGGGCACCCGTCCCATTCCAGCATTCCAGAAAGAGCTATGTGCTCTGTGAGACTGTGCTACACTCCAAGCTCAGAGCACTGAAGGGTCCAGTCTTAGAAACTCACACAGGGCACTTACTAGAACTGTCAATATTTCAGTAGGCATTGCCTTCAGTATTGAATAAATTGCTCTTTTCTTATTCCTCAAAGTGTCGCGGAAGTGCACACATGTGCATGGCACAGAGACCTGTATTTGTGCCTTCCATCTGTCTATTTACTTCCATCTGTCTGCCCATCCAACTCCTACCCTGCTGGCCTCTTCTGCAGCGAGCACATCTCCTTTCTGCTTCTCAGGCACACTGTGCAGCTAGGACGGGTTTTACAAGACACTGAACAGATGGGGCCTCTTGATCTTGTCCCTTCAGCTTCCCCACCTAGGAGCTAAACTTATTTCTTTTATGTAGCACCCAGCATCCAGCATTTTGTTACAGCGTCAGAGAAAAAAAGGTCAAGGCTGACTAGCAAGCTGGATTTATTTTGAACACAAGCAAAAATAGCTGCAGATAACAGGATCTTCAATGCTTTCCATTCAGGAAAACTGAAGATTCAGAGTGTTAATAAAGTGGGCCAAGCCGGAAGGACTTCCATTTTATTCTGTTTCTTGGGTCTCAAGGTTGTCACCGCAGCAGGAGGTTGTCAGGGATGTACATTCTTGGGCTAAACCCCGTATCTATTGAATCAGACAGTCTGGTTTGGGGGCCACAGATTTATGGTTTGATAGCACTGGGTGGTGGTAGTGGGGGTTCAGAGGTGAGAAATGGAGGGGAGTGAGACTCATGCCCAGATTTTAGGGCCACTGGGACAAGAGACAGGAAGTAGGACACAGACAGAAGAACCGGTGTGAATCCTTGGTCTTCCAGGTGGAGGACTGAAGGTAAACCCTGTCCCTGGATGATCACTTCCTTATCTCCAGTGACAGTTAGACTTGTCTGCTTCCTGGAGATTGGGACTCAGGACGATGACAACAATGACAACAAATCCTCAAGGCCATGGTTTAAGTATAACTTCGAGTACTGGTCATCAAAACGCAAAACTCCTTTACTGAGAGCTTATGAACAAGAACTTCCCTTGCCAGACAGGCACGCATAGTTTTTTTGCATTTTTGCATTTATGAGCATGGTATCGATGAGCAGAAGTTCACAGGGACATTGGGGAGTGTCAAAATAACATATGTGACCTGTCACCAGGCATAAGAAGCAAGGATCATCAACTTTACCCTATTGGTTGTTTCTCCTGGGAGACTTTATGTACGTAGTTCCTGAGAATGTGCAAGGAGTTCTTGGGAGTCTCATGACTTGTGCCCCCAGAGCCCAGCTCCTTTTCTGTGGAGTCACAGCAGTGTGGCTCAGGGCTCCTTCCCTACCCTACCATGCCACCTCACACATCAGGTGCTGGTACTTGTGCTCTCTTCTCGGGACTTCAGTCTTCCGCATCGTCCTGGAGACCCACCTCTCTAAGGCCAGCTGCCGTCTGTCCCTTCTCTGTGACTATTTACTATAGAGGCAGGTTCTCTTTCTACAGCCCTGTCTAGCTTAGAACTTACTATGTGGCCTAGGCGGGCTTTGAACTAATGGTAATGGCATCCCGAGTGCTGGGATTATGGGTTTGAGGAACCAAACCTGGCCCGTATCAGGTGTGTGTTCTCGGGTACTTTGCAAATCTTAGTTCTAGTTTTCATAAATGGCCAGAACATTCTTAAAAATGTGCTGTTGGGAACATTATGGACTGCTCTACAAATAGAGGGAACAGTCTTTGGAGCTACTGCAGTCAGACCAGGCCTGGGCTACACTAGCTATGTTTTCATTACCCAGTACAGCAGAATTGCATGGACAGGAAGGCTGGCTGCCATGGGATGCGCTGATTCTGGGGCAAGCTTCTCGCTACCTGGGTAGTTAAAGGTAAACCTGTACTCTTGGCTGCAAAATCAAGAGTTCCCTTTGCACCCCTGCAAATTTCTTTGAGAGCTTGAGAGTCTTTGCTCCTCATAGCTACAGAATTTCATGATTTTTACTATAAGGAGAAAGAGTTTATTTCTATAACTAGAGTTGATATCTCTAGCACACTTTGGCCCCATCTTTACAGGTAGGCAGGTTCACTGTTGAAGAAAACAGTTGCGGCAACTTGGTGATTTCCTGTCTACTGCTCATGATCCATTTTAACTATTCACTGGCTTTTTTTTTTTTTTTTTACTTGTAGTAAAGCTCAGAATTGAAGGCAGGCCATTTGCCATTAGCAATATGCCAGGCAGGCAGGCTCTTGAACCATTGCATTCATGGGTGGGAGGGTTATAACAATGCCAGATGTCTTCCGGAGTGCGTGTGCACAGACCGGAACACAGAAGGTAGGAGGGTGACGCCTCTGCTAAGGGTCGCATTTCCGGCCGATGGTTGATCAGACATGAAATCCAACTGCAGTTCAAGGACAGTTTAGCATTCTCCTACCCTTCCTTAGAAACAGGACTGCACAGGACACGTCCACCTGCTAGAGGGGGATGCTGCTTTCCTGGGTGCTGGTATTAATCTAAAGCCACACACTCTCCAAGCTTTCCTACCCCTAGCCATTGCGATTGGGCGCGTGGCTTTCGGTTACTCATCTCCATGTGACTTTTCTGAAGTGTGACAAGAACTGAAGGCATCCACAGAGGCTGATTAGCAGCACAGAGCCAGACTTGCTCTGATGCCCAGCACAGGAGTGAGGGTAACAAATGGCAGTGTATCAGGGAGGCCCAGCCCCTGTCTCTGCTCTTATAGTCCCATAAAAATGGGCAAAATGACCCATTAACGAACAGTTCCCGAACAAAGCAAATAGAGACTCAGACGGCAAACACTAAGGGTCTTCTGTTTAGTGTTTTAGAGAGGTGCTTCTGTTATGCATAAATATTATGTGTAATGGAAAGCTTTTGTGTTAGTCACAGAGGACTGGGAAAGAGAAACTCCATTCTGTTTCTGTCACTGGCATCTTACACTCGTCTAGCTGGGGGCTCTCTTTCTAGGTTCAACCCACAGTCTGTTTCTCACTTGTATCATGGGACCTTCGAGGCTGGGCAGCTTTATCGAAGAAAAAGGACAACTTATCTCCTCGTTCAGGATGCCCAAGGGCATGGTGTCAGCACTGGACTACCCAGTGATGACTTCAGAGGGCATGGCACCGGCTAGAGTACATTCATGTGCGTAAGGGAGACTACCTGGGGATGGGACTGTCCCCCAGGAGAAAGGGGTGGATCCCGAGGAAGCTAACTCTGGACCTCACAGGGACTACTGTAGTCATTTTCAGGGTCAGTGTTGCCCATGAATTTCCACCAGACTCCACTTCTTAAAGGTCCTACATCCTAAGCACTGCCATGCCGAAGGCCACATGCCCGGCCCATGAACCCTGGGGATACACCACATCCGAACCAGACAGTACCATAGATGACGCCTACTTTCTCCTGCCAGGTAGGAAGTGACAGCGAAGCTAAGCGCTGTTCTGAAGCCCGAGGCTGTTTAAAGCCTGCGACTACCACGTGCAGGTGCGCTATATACTGGATATGAGGACAGAATGCTGGGCGGCTTTTGTTTTGATGAATGCGAAGCAGAAGTCAATTTACTCTTTGAGAAACCAATTTGGGATTCTAGGCCACGCGAGTCAACAGGAACGAGAAAACAAGCGTGTCGCTTGCACTTCACCTGGTTGTGTTTGATGTCTTCAGCGGGCGCACCGTAGGAATTCCTATACAAAGTTGAGACTCCAGTGTTTTGAGCTGAAAGCAAAAGGAAAACAAAATTATCATCAATAAAAGCCAGGTGCCAAGGATGGAAGGATGGGCACTGAGGCAGAGTCTTGGCCTCATACAGCTTGGTTTATCACGGACCATTCCAAGGGGAAGGACCTCCTTGTCCTCAAATTCCCTTTTACATGTTCAGGAAGAAGAGGAAGCATGCTGTGAACTTCCCTAGCCTGTCAGCTTATTCTAATAATGTTCGTATCATGGTCAGGGTCAGGGAGGCTGCGGCTAACAGATGGTCATTTTGCAAGTTTTATTGCTCTCTTTCCTGGTAAGAACCAAAGGATAATAAGAGCTGGTCACCTGCAATGGAACATGCAGGAGCTTGATCAGCAGCTTAGCTTTTAGCTAGGGAATGACAAGAATGCATTTCTAACGTGCACACAAATGCTTGGCCATCTTTCAGTTCACCCGCTAAGGCCTGAAGGCCCGCCGGCGGCAGCACTATCTTAACGACCCTTGCACGTCTGGTGGCGGAAGGGATAGGGAGCTTCAGAATGTTGTTAGGTACAGAGACAAGCCCACGCTGTCTTCACACCTGCCTCTAGGTGGCAGGGGGAAGGTGCTGTGCTATAGAGGAGGTCCATTTCCTCAGATGGTACCTCAGAGGTACACGCCGCAGGCCCACATGAAGGTCACTGCTCCTCTCACAGATACTGAGGGGTCATGGCTTAAGAAAGGTCTGGAAAATGCTACTGGTTCAGGATCAATAGAACACACAAAAATCTTTTAAAATACCCCTGGCTTCCAGGATCTGAGGACAAGGAAATCTGTACACCCGCTACTCTCTCAGACTCAAAAGCATACCAGATCAGGACAGAGTACCAAGGGTTAACTTCATACCACCCACTGCCGCTATTCTTGCCTAAAAGGCATAGAGCAGCTGTGCAGTTACAATCTGCACCCCGAGTGAGCGTAACTCTCATTTCTGTTTTCCCTTTACCCCCGTGTATGCTGCATGCCCCCCCGTGTATGCCACACGGAAGTGTGGGCGTGTGAGCCCCTGCTCACGCGTGTGGAGGACAGGGCAGAACATCAGATGTCCCCTGCTGCCCTCTATCTTGTTTCCTTGTCACTGAAGCGGAAGCGGCACTTTGGCCAGACTGCCTGCCTCTGCCCCTCCAGTGCTGGGGTTACAGGCACAGGCGGGCATGCCCAGCTCCTTACGTGCGGATGTGAGCTTCACTTTCAGGTCTTCACGTGTGCAAGGCACCCTCGCTGGATAAACAGACATTGTGTCTGTCTATCTTCCTTACTCTCTCCTGGATCGCTGACTCTTCCTAACGGGCCCAACTTCCCGTCTGTCCTGTCTTCACTACGGACCAATCTTGCGCAGGCAGGGCGATCCTTGTGTTTTACGGGTTGGATTACATCGCGCTCCCTGCCTGGTAATACTCGAGTGCTCTCCACATGATCTGCCCCACCCCGCTTTCCACCATATTTCTCAACCATTCTCTCTCTAGTTATGGAGCCCTGGCCACCTGTTTCTCCTCTTTGCTCTGTTGAGTGAGTCAAGCCTGTGCGCCGCCCCCCCCCCCCTTCCCGGGAAGACTGTACCTGCAAATCTTCCGTTATCCCAGATTCTGGGATCTGGCTGATTGCCATCAGCTGTCAGCTGAGATGTCTCTCTGCTACCCATGGCATGTAAAGCTGCCCTTCCCACCTGGCCTCCTCTGTCTCAATATCTGTTTAGCCCCTCGTCATGCTCAGCATCATGTGATCATGTGATCTCCACCTTATGGAGAATTTGTTTTGCTGCTGACCTTGTTATTGCCGGCCTCTGTTTATGAGAGCAGAGGGCCCATAAAAAACAGATAACCATGTCTTGTGCTTTCCGCTTGTGTGTCTCTGGGAAGGAGCCTGTGGTGTTGGAAGTCCTTCTGTATAAGTATTATTGCTTTTATTGGTTAATGAATAAAGAATCTGCCTTGGCCTGTGATAGGGTAGAATAGAGCTAGGCCAGGAAAACTAAACTGAATGCTAGGAGACAGGAGGTGGAGTAAGAGAGAAGCTATGTAGCCCCCGCCAGGGACAGATGAGCAGAACCTTGACAGTAAGCCACAGCCATGTGGTGATACACAAATTAATAGAAATGTGTTAAATTAAGATATAAGAGTTAGCCAATAAGAAGTTATAGCTAATAGGCCAAGCAGTGATTTAATTAATACAGTTCCTGTGTGGTTATTTCAGGACTGAGCAGCTGGGAACGAACTGACAGCTCTCTTACTACAGGCCTGGTCTCAAGAGGATCTTCACAGAGCAAACTATGTAATTACTGAATAACTGAATGAAGGCATGAATCTTAGAAATTGATCTTATCTGCCCTATGTATTGCTGATAAAAATGTCACTTCAAGGTCAAAGCGAAAGGTTGTTTTTTTTCCAGTATTTGGAATACTGTATCCTGGGGGGCTGGAACATCTGTACTATTACAACCTTAGCCTCTTTTCATGTTGTGTTGTTGGTTTTTAAGTGGAAGATGCTTCTGCTGGAAGTTCTGTCTTGAGCTCTTTGGCTCGCTCGCCTGTGTAAAAGAGACTCTGGTTGACAGTGAACTCCATTCGCAGGCCTATGAAGCAGAGGGCCTCAAGGATGCTCTTCATGAGAAGTGCCTTCCTTTTCCTGTCATTCCCTAAACACTCCAGTTGCTAGCTGAAAGGACTAGAATGGCCTTAAAAGGCCTAAGAGGGGCACTGACAAAACCCGCAGGCATCACTGATGAAAAGGGAAGCTCACATGGAGAGGTGAAGTCCCCAGATAAACGTAAACATTGGGCTGCATCGCCAGGGATCAGGTGGCACAAAGAGGTTCCTAGGCAACCACAGCTGGAGAAATAGCTGCCAGCATCTGGCATGCTTGACTGCACAGCTGACGCTGGGATTCTCAGGGCCCCTTGGTTGCAGAAACACAAGGGGAGGGAGATGGTATTCTCAGAGACGTGATAGAAGCTAGGAACGAAGAGGAGAGCTGTGGCTACCCGGGGCAAGAATAATTATAAACTGGACTGGTCAGATGAATTTGCTGTCGTTGTTAATTCAGACTCATCAGTATGAATTAGATTTGCCACTGGGAACCTCTATGCTGAGGACTCAGACTCTTAACTTTCTTGGTTCATATTCAATGACGGTGAGAGCAACATTTATAGGGCAGGGAAAAACACAGTGAAAAAGAAGGATAGGCTGTGGTGGTGAAATGAATTCATCTCTCCCATTCAAGAGGCATTTCAGGATCAAGGGTGGCATGTGGGATCTGCGCACAGAGGCAGAATGTGGTCCTGGGGGTGCGGAAGGGACATATATCTTCGTCGCATGTTTCTTTACACAGCTGTGCAGGGTTAACAAGGAAGACACTGCTGCTGGGGTAAATAGATTTGTTATTGCAAAAATTTATCTTATCTTTCCTGGGTTTGGGGGACATTTAATAAATCATCCAATTTGTCTACTCTGCTTCCCTGCAGGTCTACGCATAAATAACATCAGAGATCCATGCCCTGTGCTTTTGGAGCATGCTCCGATGAAAGCACCTCTGTGCCACTTTAGGGTTACACTCCTTGCACCCCACTTCTATCAATGATATGCCCACCTGATCTCCTCTTAAAGGCCCATTACTCAAGTCTGTCTTCAGGAGGGACCCATTTTCATCTTTATGTGGTAAAGAATTGCACTGGTCCCTTGTTGAGTCGTGCGGCTCTGAGAATCTAGTTTGGACGAACTAAACCTCTTACAAGAGCCTCCTATGTCCCGCTTCCCCTCTTCCATCTCTATATCTGTGTTCTTAAAAGAAGCTATCAGTGGAAGGGAGTGTATTCAGATCCTGAAGATGACTGTAAATCCCCAAGGAAAACTGTACAAAGGATATGTAAGGCCACGCCCATTTACGAGTCAAGATGAGCAAGGCATTCTGGGAAGGGAACTAGCCGGCCACCAAGTGTATTCACTTTGGCTTCCCTAAAGTCCCAGCTTAAGGGATGGAAAAAGGATGCTGGCTCTAATTGAGATGGGATGAAGACAAAACCTCATGGGTTCTCTAGAAGCTTCGTGGGCATTGTCATATAAGGGATCAGCATCATGGTAGGAGAAGAAAATGTCTCAATGAGAATCCTGTGATACCCTTATCTTCTTCCGCCAGTTCCGGGTATTCTCAAGATCTCAAGTGCTCTGATGGTCCTCCTGGCTGTCAGCATTGATCCTGATCAAGGTCACTGATCCTAAGTCATGACGGTGCTTACCTGTCATGGCGTCTTTTCTGGAAGTGTGTTCTCCTTTAGTTCCGTGGTAGGTGGCATTGTTGCCAGTGGACTCATAGTCCGTTTTCCTTTCTTTGAGGCTGATCATTTCCCGAGGTGAAGCTGGGGCACTTGCTATGTAAAGAAATGAGAAAGATTTTATTCTGTGTCTCACTCCGTGGCACACATGGCTTTTCACGGAACGGTTCACCTCACAAGTACACACGGCCCAACCTATGCCAGTATGGTATATGGAGCATTCATTTCTCACTTTTACTTCTCCTGACTCTTCTTTTTACCGTCTTCCCTCCGCCCACGGCAACTGCTGCTTTTTCATAAGAGGGACAGCTTGACTTGGAGGTGGGCAACTGAGGATTACAGGCTGGAATCATCTTCCTTGGGTAGAGATGGCGGAGACATGGCCCTCCCTAGGTGTGCACAAGAGCTTTCGGAAGGAGACTGGTCTTCCGAGCTTTTTCCCCTTCTCTCCCCCTCGCCCTCTCTTTATTGTTTAATTAGATATGCTTCAAAGGAGCTGCTACAGCCTGAGCATCGCTAATTTGAAAACCCCGAGTACAAACCCTCTGAAGTCGGAAACTTTCCGAGCAGTGACATGACAACCGAGGTGGAAAATTCCACACTCTGCCCCATAACACAGGCTGTAGTCAAGGCACCCCAAGCAACGTAGACTATGTTACACAATCGACTGCAGGCTGTGTGAAAGGTCCATAAGGGAACAGGAATACATTTTGTGTTTAGACTTGTGTTCTCTGCTCGGTGTCTCCAGATATATACGAAATTATTCCAGGCTAAAAAAAATATTTAAAAATGAGAAACCGGAAACATTTCTGGTCTTAGCCATTTGGAGAAAGGATTTTAGAATCAGGCTGACATGGAAAAGTCCCTGATGAGAAGAATACAATGTGATTTCAACACAGAGTTGCCCTGATGCTGCCTTACGTAAGACTGAAGCAATGTCTTCCATGAAGGGGATTTGCAGCATTGGAACTACGTTTCCCACGAGGCTCTTCTCCAGGTAGCCTGGGATAAGTGGAAGAATGTTTTTTTTTTGTTTGTTTGTTTTGTTTTTGCCTTTTGCTTTTATTTCCTTACAGGGCTCAGCTCTTTGGGGGTGATTATGTCTCATGCACCCCTTACATTTCAGCTACTTGTTGATTGCTGGGCATAAGGAATGGACCCCCACCATGGCCATGTTCCTATTTGTAAAGGAGATGAGTTGTAATTCTAGGAAGGACTCTCTGGAGAATTCCACGCTATTTTAAGTAAACTGGCACCAGAAACATGGAAACCCCAGTTCATGAGATGGCTTGGTAGCAACTCAACAGTGAGCTGATGTGGGAAGAGGCAGAAAATAGGGTTGGTGCTGTAGGGGTGTGAGCCAGGCCTAGTCTCACCATGATGGGGACATCAGATGCAGTATGAGGACTGTGGCCATGGTGTGCTTGTAGCTTCCATTTTCCTTTGACTTCCTAAGCCCCACGGCAGTGTTCCATACTCCTGATGCACTCAAAGATCTGCCTAAAAGTTTAGGGCTTTTCCACCAAATCCTGACCATTTTTGGTTTGAATTTTCTACAGAGAGTCCTTGGAATTCACTCTTAACAAGCACAGCAGGTAACGAATGAGGCTGCAGTTTTTTTTTTTTTTTTTTTTTTTTTTGAAACGGACTTTTAACATAAAGCGTTCTTTGCTAGAGTCTAAGCTGCTTTTCCTCAGTTTACCTTTCATTTGAATTTTGTACAGGGTTCTTCTGCCCCAACACACAGGGCTGGCTTCTACCCTGAATGTACCTCTTTCCATCATGTGAGCCATTGGATTCTGTCAAACTTAATAAATTCTGTGTGTAAATCCCCATGCCACCCAGAGTCAGCGGAGGGGATGGGAAGTGTGGCATGCCCACTAAACTCAGAGTATCCCAGCACAGCAGAGAAATAGGCATGTGAGACTTTAGAACTGGAGGTGAAAGTAGTTAGGAAAAGCCACATCAAAATGCTGGGAAAGTCAGCAGAGGTGCTGTGTGACTGCCCCAAAAGAAATTCACTACACATCCCAAATGGATCAAAATAAAACATGGGCTCACTGCTCGGCTCATGAGGTACGTGGAGATTTCCCGCCTCAACTACTTATCAGAAAGAATTCTCCAAACTCCTAAGAAATAGATGCTCGAGCCCCACACAATACCAGTTGGGTCAAAGCAGCCAGAGGGAATCCAGGAGCATGGGACTTGACAACCTGCAGTTGGACGCACTTGAAATCTTAGCGATCTGACTCAAGGGTGCATTTTCCCTGCTACACAGGGACACGCGCTCTTCAAGAAGGAATCCGCGGCCAGTGAAGGTTAGGACAGAGAAGGACCTGGCTGCTGTCTGGTTGAGGCTGGATTAGACTGGGGGCATGGCGAACGGACTCTGCATTTTCCGCATCTTTAGGATACTGAGCTCAAAGGGGAATTACTGTGAGAACAACCGAGTCTCCCACAAGCCTCCAGCTTGGCTGTGCTCCATCCATCCTTCCCGGTCTTGCTCATCAGCTGAGGGGCTCTCACTTCCTTCCACAGCCCTCTGCCTTCTCTCTCTTCTGCTTAAACTTTTTTCTTCTGGGAAACACCTTCTTTTGTCCTTGTTCCTCTGGTCCTGGGTATCCTTGCATAGAACCTGGCCACTTGGATGTCAGTGCTATCCATCAAGAAGGCACAGTATTTTGGAGCCTTTTGACCAAAGCTTTTAAAATGAGAGTCTAATATTGCACAGATGGCGACGTTTATTAAGCTACATGAAGTGTGTAATTATCTCCTGAGACCTTGCACGTGGTGATGCCCCAAGTCTTCAGTAAATCAGGCTTAAGCTCCAAGAAAGATCAATTCATGCGAGCAAATGTTTATTAGGTGTCCTGATGTGCCTGGCCTAGGAAATACCAAGGCAAAGCACTTGTTGAATGCGTCCCCAGTCTGGCCCTTGTCTGCCTACTCAGACATGGCTCTTCCATACCCCACACCTTCCCACTTACTCTATCACTTCATCTTCCGACCCTGGTTGTTTGAATGTAGCTCTTAGGTAGGTAGAGCCTTTAAAAAACCAGCCTCCTAAGTGCCCCAGATGCTCTTTAAGCCTTCAGAACTGTAGAGTTAAAAGCATGTGCCCACCTCGGTGCTTCTAAGTTATAGGGGGTTCCTGATTCTCATCTACGGTTTGGATGAAATGCCCTAAGCAACAACCATCCTTTGAATATACAAACTTTCGTGGAGCTTGGAGCGTGTAACTGATTTCATTCAAAATTTCTCTCTTTGTTTCTGCTTTTCCTCAACTGTATGACAAGTGAATCTGTCATAGTTTGAGGACAGTCATCCTAAGGGACACAAAAGCCACTTAGATGACTGCCCAGCCCCCTAAAATGCTGTTTCAGAGAACAGGGCTTCTTCAGTGGGGTCAGGGGTGGGGCAGGGAAGAGAAGCTTGTCACAAATAAGAGCCTAAACATCAGGGCATGCATGAGGACATCTGATTAATTGAGTCTTCACTCATTCCTCAGCCAAAGAAATAAACATTCAGACATGAAAAGATAAGCTTAAAACCCTATCCGCTGAGGTAGAGAATTGTAGTAGCAGTTCATTTGTATTTTAATAAATAAAACTTGCCTGAAGATCGGAGAGTAAAACAGTCACACTGATCAGTCTTACAGACCAGGCAGTGGTAACACACACCTTTAATCCCAGCAGCCTCACTAGTTGTCTTGGAAACCGGGCAGTGAATACCTTATAATCCCAGTGGTACATGCTTTTAATCCCAGCCCTAGAGAGGATTATAAAAGGGCAGGAAACAGCTCTCAAACTCAGTCTCCTTCTGAGATTCCTGGAGGCAGGATTGCCATTTTGGACTGAGGCAGAGGTAAGAGCCAATGGCTCGCTGTTTTGCTTTTCTGACCTTCCGGTTGAACCCCAATTTTTCTCTCTGAGTTTTTATTAATCATGCTTCAGAGAACAATAGGATGCTTATGCTACCAAATGACACACATAATTGACTTTTCATATTTCCATATAATCTTTGGATTATATTTAGAAACAAACTGAGATCAAAATTAAAGTACTAGGGATGTGACAAAATGAGAAAAATATGAATAAATGTTAGCAGTGATATAAATTTACTGATGACTCATAGTTTATAGGAGGTGAGTTGAGTATGGGATAGTTAGAAACACTTGTGTAACTGTGATGTGTGAACGCTTCCTTTAGACTTTGTACTCAGAGTGCACAGAGACATTCCATAGACAGGAAGCAAGCTCAGTGGAGACTGGTCTTGGTCTGTGTGTAGCCAACAGAGTTGCCCACCAAAACAGAAAATACACCACATACTACCCAGCGTGCAAGCCAGACAGCTATTCTCAGAGTGGTGACCAGATCAGGGGCTGGGCATGAATCCCTTGGCTCAGGAAGAAACCATGGCCTGAGCTGGCTCTTACCTGAGCGGTTGTTGGGAGACACACGCACAGGAGAGATGGAGGGTGTGCGGGAGGAGGAGTAGGGCCTTTGTCGATCCCTCTCAATGGTTGAAGATGAGGCTACAAAGTGATATTGTGACCATCCATCCTGCAAAAGACAGCGTACTCCTTTTAGCAGGGAGAGCGCGGTGACGCTTCACCTCCTGACTCTGCAGAGTTCCAAGCATTTGAATTTGCAAAACATTTCTGCAGGTGTCAGAAGAGATTACAGAGCCCCGCACATCACCCAGGCTTAACCCAGAGCAGTGGGAATTGAGGACACCCCTCTCTCCCCCAGGCAGCCTGGCCCAGGAAGGTGGGCGGTTTGTGTCTGTTTCCCTCCGCTCCAAATATTGAATAATGGTTTCTGTGCCGACTTTTTTGGCCACATGCATTATTAAAGGCAAATGCACTGCTCTTTCAAAGTCAGATGGCTCAAAATGTCTGTCTTTGCCTACCTGGTTTCAGCTCTGCCTGCTTGCTCTCCATTTGCCAACTAACCTTTCTCAAGTGTTACTTTCTTATTTTCAGGACAGATCTGTGAGCAACAGGGTCCTGTGACAGCATCCTGCCACATCATCTATCACTGTTACATAATTACCAATCTCTTTCTGCATCACAGAAACCCAGTCCTCCTTTCTCAGGTCCTCAAGGCTCTGGTAAGACACCGAATGGACGATACATTCCCAGAAGATCCTGGGAATTCTACTTTCTATCAGAGCATCCTCCAAATGCTTCCCACCATGCCTTCCTAGCTTTCCACTATCCTGTCAGCATGTGAAATGTATATCTTATTATAAGACCCATACAAATGCATTACAGGCCATTTATGAATTTGTAGAGAACAAAGAAGAAAACTAAAACAGCTGATGGTGAAACTAAAACTGCTGGTGGTTAAAGTCCTCGCAACTGCAGAGAGTTAACGAGTTACCTCTTGTTAACATGTCATAGGCTTTTCTTCTAGCCTTTCTTCTTTAATTCAATTGTATTTCTATCAAAGCACTGTTCCAAGGAGCGCGAGCATAGCAAGAAAGAACAGTGGGCACCTGCTCACTCCCGATTCCCTCGTCATGGAGACAACTCTTTCCAACTCTTTTAGTTGTCTTTTAAAAGACATTATCTAGACTTTAAAAGAATTTGATGTTCTATGAAGAATCACCGCAATTTTTTTATATTTAATTGTTATTTTATTTTTTTTATTGATTTTATTGAGCTCTACATTTTTCTCTGGCCCCCTCCTTGCCTCCCCCTCCTCTTCAATCTTCTCCCAAGGTCCCCGTGCTGAATCATTGCAAATTGATAGATGGAAATTAAGAACAAAATTTATATTCATTTCAATATTTGTTTATGTCTTTCTTTATCTCATTTTGGTAATTCCTGTTCTTACTCATATGATAAAGCCAGGATTAGAAGTAGGCTCTTTTGGAAGAGATTATCTAGCATGCCCTGGGTAAGTAACCATGTGGCAGTATTCTATCCAAGAGGTGAATTCCGTTTCACAGATAAGGAAGGCAGTGAGGACACGCAAAGTGAAGAAGGAAGCAAGCTAAGGATGCTGAGGATGAAAGTGAAGCTCTTACACTTGGAAGAGAAGACAGCCGTCAGAGACAGCAGCGTGCTAGCGCGGCTGCGTTGTGAAATTCCGTCAAGGAAGCACCTGAAGAGTTCACACTATAGGGGTTAATGGACCCAGTCACTAAATTCGGCTTCCAAGTCAAGGAAAAAAACAGATGTGAAGGTACTGGGTGGAAACAGAGTGGTCGCCATGACTGAGGAGTGATCAAGGGTACAGGAAGACACCCTGCCTTCTGAGTGTTGGGAGCTGAAGACAGCTTAATAGACCAGAGAGCAGAAGCAGTGGCTCTGGCGGGCACAAGAGAGCACGTGAGCAACTGACTCAGGTGGAGAAGTGGAATGTTTGCATCTCTGCTGGAAGACCTGACGCCCGTGGCCTTGGGGTGTGAGAGAAATCAGGCTTCATTCTGTGTTTCTGCCGTGAGCCTAAGGGGCTAGAGGAGCTCTCCTGGAAAGAATATGGCAGAGAAACCGTTTTGGAAGGAAAATCAAGATTGCTTTGGGAGTATGTTGGATTAGAGATGCCTGAAAGATACAGACGCTAGATAAAGAATCAGGCCAAATATGCAAGTCTGGCTCTCAGGAGCAGGATCAGAGGTAACATCTGGAGTTGAGAACACAGGTATTACCCAAGGCAAGAAGACAGAAAGAACCTGGAGAGTGGATGCAAATGAAGGAGAGCACAAAGCAGAGGCTAAGCCAGCCCAGGGATGCTTCAGTAATCAGAGTCAGAGCAGCTTGGAAGGAGGATGAGAGGAACCGAATGGAGCACTGGGGAGGAGGTGGAGGCAGGTGTGACATCAGGCATGAAAAGATGGATAAACGTGTAAAAGGAGACTGAGCAGACAGCAAAGGCGAGCATTGCTCTTGGAGAGTTCGAAACCACTGCGGTGGGACTGAGGTGCTTTCTTTGACAAGTTTGGTTAAATCTAACTCAAGTAGGCTCGGAGGATTATATGGATGGATGAAGGGACGCCCGGGTATGGACAACTCTTAGTGAAGTTCTAGGTTTGAGGGAAGCAGCAAAAATGGGGCTTGAAGAGAGTGAGGGATGGAGAGATGCCTAAAGAGATCACCTGGAAGTCACTCAGGCATTGCATGTGCTGATGGGAATGACTCAACATCCAAGACAAAGAAGCTGGTGACAGGGAAGAAGGGACCATTACAGGACAGTATAGGACGGGGAGGATGCAGGAGACCGCGGGGAAGAGGAAAGCATGAGGAGAGAGGCTGTCCAGCCAAGAGATAGGGAAGTGGGGGAGATCTGAGGACAGGAGAGTGAAATCTTCTTTCTTGGTTTTGCATGTTTTTTTTTTTTTCAGTGAAAATGAGAAATGAGGTCATCCTCTGAAAGCAAGGAATATAGTTTAGACAACAGGAGGAGAAACAGGAGGGGGTTGAAAACTGCGGAGGGGCTCAGTCCCACAGCTAAGTGGGAAGCAAGGGGTCTTGGGGCCGGAGAGAAGGTTCAGGGGGTACAATGCATACCACACAAAGCGAGCATGAGGACTGGAATTCAGATCCCCAGCACCCATGGAAATGCTGAGCAGATGTGTTGGTCCACCTGAAATGCCAGTGCTCCATAAGTGAAATTAAATCCCTAGAGTGTTCGGCATCTAGACTAGCTGACTGGTGAACTCTGGGTTGAAGGGGAAAAGAGAAACCCTGTCTCAATCTGTATATGACAGAGTAATCAGAGAAGAAATCCAATATCAACCTCGGGCCTCCACAGGCCCACATACACGTGTGCACCTCTATACATGCATACTACACACACAGATGCATGCGTGCATGCATGTGAACACACACAAACGTACATGCAAACACATGCATATGCGCATACACATGCACACACGCGCATGCATGTGAACACATGGGTACACACACAGGCATGCACATACAACACCCTGGATGAGAGGTGACCTTTTCTCTCCTCCCTCCCATTCACTGAAGCAGAAATCTTGGAATGGCCAAGCTGTAGAACTTTGATATGACTGCATCTGGAAAAGCCTGGATGGGACATTAAGCTCTCTATTCTGATGGCACATGCTTACAAGTGTCATAGCACGATGTAACACCAGATGCTAGAAACCAGCATGCAGCTGGTCCAGGTGGAGACAGATCGCAGCTGATTCCAAGCACGGTCTCTGGCTCATCAGTAACTGTGAAGCCTCACTGCTTCCCACATTGTCTACTGGGTGAATTTTGGTCATTTAATTCTTTCTTTGTGTACTAAATAAGCTCAAATAATGAAGATAAACATTTTTGAGGGGAACATTATTGCTAACCACACGTGGTCCTGCTAGCCATGTGCATATCTTCAATCTAGCTAGCAATAAGCTATCATTTCTTTACTTCTTGTTGTCACTTACAAAGACTTAAAATTGGTTCACACAAGTACACAACTCCAGGAGATAGTTTCCTTTATTATTTGTCTCTTTGCTCGCTAGCCTTTCTTGTTTAAATTTTAACTCATTATTGGCCATAGTGTATGTGTTTATATTTTATTATATTAAACGCTTAACCAAAGATCCCTTTGTACATTCCCTATGGCTTGCTGGGGTTAGATAAGAAAGCTCAGGGAAAAAAAATGGAGAATGAGGAATGGCCACAGTAACCAGGGAAGAGCTGTTAATCCCCAAGGCTGACGATAAGGAACTTGTAAAATGTCCATGACTCTGCAGACCTTGAGCAGCGACCCAGAAGATGTGCCCTTTAGCTAGAGACCCAGCTAAGCCGTCAGAAATGTGATATGATATCTGACAGGTCAAATTGGTTTTTATTTTTAACACATTAAATTTAAAACTGGAGGCTGTTAAATTGTCCCCACATAGATAGAAACAGAAATTCAAAGAGAAGCCCAAAGTCCTTGAGCCTTAACTCGCCACTAGGAATCACCTGCCCCTTCTCCACATCCTCCTGTTGTCTTCCCCCAGCTTCAGCTTCTGTGTCAAAGTGTCTTATTCACTTCTCTAAGAAGTTTATTACCCATCAAAGTTGTGGCTTTCTACAGTGGAATTTTCGGGGATTCTAAGCACAGCGGAACCAGGTCAACTTTACGAACCCATGCTCAACTTTACCGTCTCAGGAACACGAGTGCTTCGAGACTGTAGCTGCTCCCATAGGATGAGGACTGTGGTGTGTGTGCAGGTGAACACACACACATACACCCCCTTGTGTGGTGTATACTTGTACACCCAAGTGGAGGACAGAGGTCAATCTTAGTGTCTCCCTGCATCACCTTAGATTTGAGTCAGCTGCTCTAACTGATCCCAGAGTTCACCACTTAGGTAGACTAGCTGGTCAGCCAGCCCCCAGGAACCTCTTGTCTCTTCCTCCTGGCACTGGACACAGATGGACATTGTATACCAGACTTTGTGTGTGGGTGCTGATGATCTAAACTCAGGTTCTCATGCTTGCAGAACAGGTACCGTGCCCGCCGTTTCCCCAAGCCCTTCATTTATAGTTTTGAACATACAGTGAACATTGTCAAATGGAATGCTAGCAGTGAAGGAACCTCCCTGGCAGGGTGAG